ACATTTCACACTGGCCCCGGGTCACAGGAGAGAGACATCGGGGCAGGGAAGGGTCAGCTGGGAGACCTGCGTGCCCCACTCAGATCCCACACAGCCCCGTCCGCCTTCCTGTACCATTGCCGCTGGCACCGCACGGAGCCTGGCCGGGCCGGGGGTTTCAAGAGGGTACGGCCAGAAGGGACCATTAGATCATTCAGGCTGAGCTTCCCTGGGTAGATTGGGGACAGACAGACAGAGGGACTCACCGGGAGCTGAGCAGATCTCCTGGCTGCTGGGACTCAGCCCTGGGAACAGAAAGGTGCCGTGTGTTCAGTGCTGGGCTAGAATCGCCCCTGAGAAGCTGATGGGGTCTCTGCTCTCCCCATGGCCCCCACTCCCGAGATGACAGTGCCCCCTGCAGAGAGGGGCGGGCTCTGGGTCTGTAACATGCCCCATTGCCCTCCCCAGCCCCATGCACTGAACGGGATTCACATGCAGGAACCTGGGAACCAGGGCCCCCCTCTCTCTTCCACACAGAGGAGCATGGGACCTGGTTCCAGCCCCACCCATCCCACCAGGGACACCCCGGCCTGCTCCATAGGGCTGTGCCAGGCACTGTGCAGAGCCCTGACCCCCCAGATCCCCTCTGGGCTGGTGAGGCCCATGCAGGCGGCCTGGAGGGATCTCATGCTCCCGGGGAATCAGCACTGGGAGTCTCTGTACAGGGCTCTGCTAACAGCCCGGCAGCGCCTACGCTCATCCTCAGACCCATTAACTGAGCTCAGCCCCTCACTTCCCCAGCAGAGCCTGCAGCAGGGAACACACTACGGACAGACAGAGGGACAGGGCCAGACCTGATATGGATGTTTGAGAGTCAGGCCCAAAGCAGAACCCTCGATCCCAACCCCTCTTGTCGGTAACAGAACCAGAGCCCAGCCTGGATCCCAGCTCAGTGTCTCTGGCCCCTCGGTAACAGGGGCCCTGGGGTTGGACCCCGATAATCCCCCACCCTCCAAAGGCAACAGCCGTCCCTGCTCTCTCTGCCTCCAGGCTCAGCTGACACCCTATGAGCATCCTCCCCCAAGCCCAGCCCGTCCTGACTCGATGTGCCTGGCGTGGAGAGCTGGGCCCAGTGACACACCAGGGGTTTGAATACAGCCAAATGCCAGCTCACAGCTCCCAACATGGAATGTCAGCCAGCCCAGCAGCCTGGGGCCTGGGCTGGGAAAGCAGGGACCCGCGGAAGGATTTCAAGGTCCTAGGGGAAAAGTAACTCGACATGAGATCCCAGGGCGCTGCGGGGGAACAGGGCTTATGCACCCCTGGGCTGTGTAATGAGGAGAGCAGGAGCAGGAGCAGGGAGGGGATTTCCCCCAGTGTGCGATCTTGGTGTGGCCGATACTGGATCCTGCATCCAGTTCTGGGGGCCCCTGTTTAAAAGGGTGTTGGAAAAGTGCAGTGGGTACAGGGCAGAGCCAGAAAAATGCTGCGAGGGCTGGAGAAGAGGCCTCACAGGAGAGGCCGGGGGAGCTCCGTGTGTGGAGCTGGTCAGACAGCTGGGCAGGTCATGGTGTCCAAGCTCCTTCCAGGGGAGAAAACCCCAGGGGCTGACGGGCTCCTCGGTGCAGCGGAGACAGGCAGAACCAGACCCAAGAGCTGGACGCTGAGTCTCGGCAAACTCCAGTGAGAAAGGCAGCAGCAGTTTCTCCCCATGCAGGGGATTAACCCCCGGTGCCAGCTCCCCAGGGAAGTGGGGGAGTCACAGCCAGGCCACAGGCCTTTTCTGGGAGATGCTTTAGTCAAACACAAGTGACTGGGCTCAGTGCAAGGGAGCTGGGGGAAGTTCTCTGCTCTGGGCTATCAGGGCGTCACACTGGATGGGCTAATGGTCCCTCCTGGCCTGAAACTCTGTGAAGCTGTAACTGTAACCCCAGCCTGGGCCGATTGCTAGCTCCAGGCCATCTCCAGCACTGAGCACTGGCCCTGTGCTGG